AGGCTTGATGAGATGAAAGCAAGTGAGCCTTAGAGAAGATGCCCTTCCCCAGGTCATCTCACAAATGGTTGACTGAGAATTCGTTGAGATGTCTCTTTGTGCTAGTACTTATCCAAGCAGATGTTTTATAGCTTCCAAAATTATCGTAAACCTGTGGAGTTTTGCCGTAGCCACCGTTTAAATTTTTTAGTAGACAAACTCATTAGGAGCTTGGGAGGCGTTTTGTTTGTTGTTCCTTAAGTCACCTAACTTGACATGAAGGTCTCTTCAATAGAAAGAAAAAAATGAACCTGAGCTTTTATTTGTAGGAAAAAGTAAAAAAATAAGCATTTCATATTAGAAGTGGATTGCATTTTACATCAACACTATGCTCAGGTGGCATCCAGTAATCAGTAAATACTCCTCTAAATGAGTAAATGAATCAAGATTTAGAACTCTTAAGTACTTAATTCTTAATGGTTTGTTAGAAGACTTGGCTCTTAAACTGGCTGTGGCAACATCTTAGTAGAAGGCATCCCAGTGGAGCCTGATATAAGTACTTAGATCGACTCAGAAGAATTGTCTTTCTTATCTTGACTGCTGGCTTTCCAAACACAGCAAACATCTACAAATGAAGTATTCTCCTCTTCTGTGAGCCACCAAGGATCATAATAAATGGGGATTGTAGAGAAACCAAGCTCAGAGAGTCATTCATATAAAAGAAGTCTCCTACTATATCATATATTGAAGCTACCTCTCTTTAGTAATTAGATTATTGATGTCGTATATAGTCAGTGTTGCATATAGTGTTGTATATAGTCAGTGTTGCATTTGAGTGGTGTTTATAAAAAATGCAAATTAAAAATAACAGTATACATTGATTCATGGTTGTGTTCCATGCCTTTCATTTTATATACCCAAAGAAATTGAAAAGGTAAATCTGTAATTAAGCTTCCCCAAAACATTCAATTTTGCATCTACTCTATGCCAAGTACTATGATAAGGGCTTGAAAATAGTTATACTATAAATTAAGTTTATTGCATTTTCTTTTTTTTATTTTTATTTTTATTTTTACTTTGTAAAGACAGGGTTTTATTCTGTCACCCAGACTAGAGTGCAACTACATCATCGGTCCCTACAACATCAAATTCCTGGGCTCAGGTGATTCTCATGCCTCAGCTCCCTGAGTAGCTAACACTCCAAGTGTGTCCACCAAACCTGGATAATTATTTATTTTTTGTAGACACTAGGTCTCACTCTTACTTGAACTCCTGGCCTCAGAAGTCTTCCTACCTTAGCATCCCAAAGTGCTAGGATCACAGGTGTGAGCCACCACATCTGGCCTATGACACTTTCTTAATTTCAAGTTCCTATTTCAGACTTTCTCTCATTTTCATGTTTAAAATGTGTAAGTATTCAGCTTTTGCATTTTAATCTGGACTGATAGCTTTACATGCAACCGTGTATCACTCTTCATTTTATTTATCAGAACAATTCATGGCAAAAGGTGTAATGGGTAAGCTGACCAATGTGTATGTCCCTGGTGTGAGCGCCACCCCCCACCTAGTCCTGTGTGCGGTAATGATGGTATCACGTACAGCACTAAACATGACCTAAAAAACCAGGTATGAGTTACAGCAAGAACTGTATATTGCGGCCCAGGGAGCCTGCCAAGGTCCCACGTTGGCCCCACTGCCTTCTGTGGCCCCCTCACGCTGTGCTCAGACCCCCTAGGGCTGCTGCCAGGGCAACATCATGGCTGCCCAGGGTGTGGACCTGGCCGGCTGCCTCAGCATGTGCCAGTGCAACCCACATGATGTCTACAATAGGACCTATGATACAGCCATAGGACAGTACTCCTGCTGCCCAGGTGTGGATAGCTTCAGATGTGACTGCTATGAGCCTGGTTTCTAAAATTTCCAAGACATTATCACTGATAGCTGGAGTGGCTGCACCCCCTGCAGCTGTGAGCCCCGGGAAGCTGTGCGGGACAACTATGAGCAGATAACCGGACTATGCTCTTGTAAACCTGTCATGACTGGCCGCAAGTGCAGGCAGTGTCCAGATAGCTGTGCTCTAAACCCTGCTAGTTGTAAAACAACCCTCTCGGCACCCAAAACCTGTGCAGAAATGCACTGCGAGTTTAATGCTTCCTGCATGAAGGAGGCTGGTTCTGCCCACTGTAACCACCTGGGATCCTGAGTGAAACACTTTCGCCTCCCCCAGCACCTTTACACCCGGCCTTTCCAGCAGGGGAGGCAGAGGTCGCTCACTCGCTGGCTTACTGGGGTACTCTGTGATGATCCGTGGCAGGCCAGTCGCGAGGGCGGGTGCTGTGCAAGAGGTCAAGGCTACATTGCAGCGGCAGCCAGGACAGGCTGGCAGGCCCTGAAGAAACGGGATGTCACCATAGAGCTTCTTCCCCCGATGCAGCACAGCCCGAGCGGAGGCCACAGTGCTGCCCTCCAGTCCCTAGGAGCCCACACTGCGCGGAACCCGCCCCACCTGCACACTGGCACTGGCTACATTTACCTTTAGAGAATCTGGGGGTACTGACGGAAGTAGAGACCAGGAACTGAGTGGGGGCCAGGAGGCCAGCGGGAAGACTCTAAGGAACTTAAACTTTAAGGGCAGCAGCATAATAACCCTGAGGCCATCCGTAAAAAGGACTTCCTGCTATAACTTGCCTTTGGACTGCTGCTCAGATAGAAAACACAGAGGGCTCCAACCATCCTGCCATCAAGATGTTCCAGGGAGTGCTGAAACTTGAGGGGGTCAAGAGCCAGGAACTGTTCTACCACAGCCAGAGCTACCACCGTGGCCTGCCTGTGCTCTGCCATGACCCCTTGGGCCTTGTTCCCCAGTCACACAAACTGCCCAACTGGCAAAACCACCATCCTGCCCACTACACACCACCCCACCCCAACTATCCGCAGTCATGTGCCAGGATGACCCGAGCAGCCCCCAAGAGCCTGTAACTCCCAGCTCTGCCTCCATAGAGGAACCTACAGAGAGCAGGACTCTGGCAAGGACTTCTGCTGCTGCCCTGCAGGTGGGGGAGGCGCAGTCTGTGAGGAGGCACTACACACCCTGGTGCCAGCCTTCAGAGATTAAAAACAAGCCAGTTCACATCATGTGGTCTCAGCATGAGTTTTCCATCCTGATTGATTTTTGTCCCTCTGTGCTTGC